CAGGTCAATGAAGGTGTGTCTTGACGCCTTCCCGGTGCTATCTTTGACATCCTCATCTGTGCCGCCTCAACCTGTAGCTGAGACGATGCTTCCCAGGTAGGTAGGTAGGCGAAAGAGATTACTTCACCTACCTGGGCCAGATTCTATGTGAAAAATGTTAACCAATCAGATACCTGCCTGTCTGTTTGTTTATCGCTCTAGCAAGTATCATAAAACTCTTAGATTTCGGAATATAAAGGTTAAAAGAGAGAATTTTATGCGAGCCAACTGTTCCTTCAAGCGTTTCTAGCTTTATCTATTTTTTTTTAAAGCTTGCGTTAATATGCTAAATTCAAATTTAGTTTCCATCAGACTTCAATGTCAGCCTCAAGCACTATTTACAGAGTCCATGAAAACATGTTAAATGCAATTTTCGTAAATGAACAGAGCTAGCTCAGTTTCACAATTACCTATTTGAATACAGTTGATATTTTCTACTCGAAATGACGAAATCATGAAGGTCTGTTATTTCCTAACACTTTTTTGAGCATCAATTATCTTGAAAACAAAAGTTATTGGAATGCTGGGAAATATTAGTAGCTCAGATAAATAGTCTCGGTTGTGTGGTGTTCCCTTTGGTTGTTGGCTAGACTTTAAAAGAGCACAAATACACATTGGACAAAGGTAGATATAGCATATCAGTGGACTCCTCGAATTTCGGTATTTATGTCATTCACCAATCAACAGATAGATGTATAGACATAGACCCAATCTGTCAACCAATAGGAAAAATGATAACCAACTTCAAGGTCACAGGTCAGGCAGAGAAACAGACAACAGGAAAATCTATACAACTAATGATAACCAATCACAAACTAATTAGTTAGAGCAACCTGCTGAATCAATGACGCAGAAATCCTGTCACCTCACTTCATGTTTGAGTTAATGCTGATGATATTGTCCAGAAACATAATAGAAGGTACACAATTAACTCACCCTCTCAGAGAACGTAATACAACCAAGATGATAAAAAAAACCATTCTTAAATTTTTAACATCTGCTGCAAAATTGTATCGGACGAAAATAAAAATTTATTTCTTTTCTAAGAGGAAAGTATTTTAAAAAATGGTCAAATTTCATTCTTTTTCGGAATATGTGCAAATGTTTAAAAAAAACAACAACAACAACAACAGATTTTACAGCATTTTATGTTCATTTCTTTACCGCTTTAATGATTGATACATTCCACTTCTATCATTAATTGAAAAGGGAGGTGTATGGGGGGGAGGTGGAGAATGAAATATCGATTTCAGAAGTATTTAATTTAGTTTATTTATTATTTCTGTGATTTGAATAATTTTTCATTTAATCATACTTGGAATAGCATCGAAGTGAATGAAACAGATAACTGTAGAAAACGAAAATTATTGAACTGAATAAACACTAAATATTCAATCAGTCAATAAAAAGGAAGAGTAGTTGTTTCTATCTGGTTCTACTGCTGTAACACAGGTATAATAATTGAGACTGAATTTGGAGCAAATTCACATTCAGAATGGTACAGGAATTAAGTGACTTCAAAGGGTAACCTAGCAACGACTGAAACAATCAATAAGGTATCTTGATTTTGGTTGGAAAGGCAGGTTTACATTAAGTACAGAAGTTTAATCGGTCACTTCAATTGTTGCTAGGGTGGCTTTTAAAATCTTGCTTAAACTGGGTGACTGTAACGACTACCCTAGCAACTGATGAGACAGTCAGTCCCATTCCGTTATCTTATGGAAAAGTACTTTTCCAGGCAAAATATGGAAGCCTGGTTGGTACATTCAGCAGTTTCTAGGTTGGTCTTTAAATCACTAGTGTGAGGTACCACGACGACTGCAAAAGACACCCCAGCAACAATTAAAGTGACCAACTCACCTTGTGTACTTAATGAAAACCTGTCTTTCCAGCCTCAAGGAAGATATCGGATTGGTAACTTCGATCGTTCTTAGGGTGGCCATTAAATTTGCCAGATAACGACTTTAAAGACTACCCTAGCAACTAATGAAATAAACAATCACCTTTCTCTATTCTATGAAAAATGGTCCTCAGGCAAAATACTGAAATCTAATTGGTTTATTCTGTCAGTTTTTAGGGTGGCCTTTAAAGTCGCCTGAGATAATCATTTACATTAGTCTATTTTATAAAAAAACTACTAGCCTTTAAAAGCCACCGTAGCTACGGTTAAAAAAAAACAATTAAACTTCTGTATTTTATGAAAATCTGCCTTTCTAGCCGAAATGAAGAAGCCTATTAGTTGTTTCGATTGTTGCTAGGGTGAGCTTTAAAGTTTCTCAAATCTACCTCCCCCCCTTCGGTCGAAATTCTGAAAGTTGATTGGTTAATTGATCAGTTGCTATGGTTGCCTTTAAAGTCACTTACATGTACATAAGCGCATCGCTTCAAGGTGCCACTCTAGACAGTGGCATACAAAGAACAAATGCATAGAAAAAGACTGATATCAAGTAGGAAAAAGCATATGAAGAGAACTGCTTTAAAAGCCCCCCTAGCAACTACTGAAATAACCAATCAGGCAACAGCATTCCGGCTAGAAATGGAGTTTTTTTTATAAAGTAGGGAAAAGCAATTGGTTATTTCACTTGTTGCTAAGATGCCCTTTAAAGTCATTCACATGGAAGGAGAGGGAACTTAAAAATGAGTGTTCAGGCTTTAGCAGACACTAAAAAGTGAATACTTTCAGCTATCTCACCCAGTGACTTCAACTACTGATTCCTGTCGCCTTGGCGACTCCAGCTAGAAAAGATCCTTATTTGGTATACACTATGTTGGAAAAACATTACCACATACAGGTCACCAACACCTTCTTCACCTGATCAAACTGAAACTGAACATTCAGAAGGAAAAACTTTCTATGTTGCCTACCTTCTTACATTTTTAAAGTCCTTCAAGATGTGTAACTGATTTATTAGGTGATTTAGTGTTCCTCAATTCTTACAGGTATCTGCGTTACTCATCTCCGCAATCAGAAGTGTTGTGAGTAAGCCAAGGTTTGACTGATCTTTCTAGGATGTAAGTGCTTCTGATAAATGATAAAGGTGAGACAGTGAGTAAGTAAGTGTTTTATGCGGAAAGAAATCTCCATTGTACTCTGAAATTCTTACATACTTCATGTAGAAACGTAATGTCACAAAGAACTACTATTTCTAAGCATACAGTGATTACTTTTTGGGTCATATACATATATATGTTAGTTAGTTGGAAGGAATCAGTGAAAGGCGCTGCTTCACTGAAGTTTCATGCTTTTGAATACTCATCAGTGAAGCGAAACTGAAACCTCAAAGGAGCTGATTTTCCACCCGAAATTCTAAACTTCATCAACCTGTGCTGCAGTTGGATACATTGTCACCTCCTGTGAAACTTTTAGTAGACCTAAAATGCTCAGATGACATAGTCCTGTTAGATGAAGACGCTGACAAGATGTAGAGTATTCTAGATTCATTGAGTGGAAATTTGAAAATGTCTGTGTTATATTTCTCCCCCACCTAAATGCAAATTATTGGTCAAAGACTGGTCGTCAACGGTACGCCAACTAACAATACAGAGTGAGGTGATCGAGAGCGTTGAACACTTCACTAACCTGCGAAGTTGGATCGGCCCTGCCCTAATGTGTTGGTCATTGACCGACGAAATCTCTACACGTATACAAAATGCTCGGTTGACTTTTGACAACTTACACCAAGTGTGGCACCACCATAATATCCAATTGTCTATTGCAGGTTGATTATACAGCACAGCGGTCCTCTCTGTCCTACTGTAAGGCTGTGAAACATTGCCATTAAAGGTAGAATACATTCGAAGGTTTCGGGTGTTTGACCATCGTTGTCTTCTTAGGATAGGCTGTTTTTTTCTGTCACTACGTAAGTAATGCAGAATTCAGGTGTATAGTTTTAGACAAGAGAGGTAAGACAGTTGATGTGGTTGTGAACCTCCATGGACCAAGATGGCTAGGACACGTGTTACGTATGCCTAGGCACTGTCTGCCTCATCACACAATGTTGGCCACAGTAGGTTCAAGCTGGAAAAAGGCACGGAGCCGCAAGACTAAAACATGGCTTCAATGAAAGAAGTCTTTGACTGTTCTTATGAACCATGTTGAGTGATGCAGACTAGCCGGTTGGGGTCCGTGGGATAAGAGGAACCAGCGGTTGCAGACTCTAGGTGATATGTCTCAGAATGGATGTCAGTGGTGTAGATGTACACACACATTATCCTCATCTTAACGGCTATACTTAATCTCACCAACTTCTCATTCTTTCTTCTTCTCTTTTAATAACTTTTTACTTCCCTTGACCGATTTCTCTTTCCTTCTTCATCTTCCATTTTATTGCTTTGTTACTTGATGTGCTGATATAAGATGAAGTGTGGTAACCTGGACCTTTACGTAGTAATGCCTAGTCAATGTACTCAATCAATATATTAATCAATCTAATTCATTCAGCCCTATAGAAGATCTATCAGTAGTAATATCTTCAACTGAAGTATTAGGTGACATGGGTTTGAGTCTCAAGCCCAAAACTAGTTCCTTCGAGGTTGGGGAGATACCTTTCTGATGAGTGTCAACAAACAGGAAACCTAGTTTAAGTAAGGCTTCCTGCCAATCATCTCCATCGAACCAAATTGAACTGAAATAACAAATAAATTTGAAGATAAACTTATCAATAAGCATCTGCCATCATCAAGGTGATCTGTTCAATATTTCTGATCACCTTTTGTTAGATAAACAGCGACTGATAGCCAGAAAGAGGGGAAATGACTTAAAACTGCTATGTGAAGGGAATTTCTAAGTCTTTAGACATATGTGCCAGGTTTATTTACACTTAGATTCCAGTAAAACAAACCAAACAATGTCTCCACTGACAAATGAACACAAATGTAAATGAAACTATAGTTACACAAAACAAGGAAGTCACATTTAAATCAACTACGTACACACACACACACATACACAGTCAACATACTCTTAAAGCTTTTGTGATCAGCTTAATCTCCAGTGTTCCAAGTCCACGATATTGTAAAGCCAACTTCTGCTTACTAAGACTATTGACAACAGATCGTATTGGAGTGACTTGATTCATTGAACAGAATAATAAGTAGTGTGAAATTCCCACTGTATCATGCTTCAAATCAGTTGTAGTAATATTTTGTTGAAATGACTTAGAGAAGTGTATCGATTCAAATAACTTTTCTGTTACCTGATTAAACTTGATGTTTTTTTCACCTTCAATATATTCTTGTTTATTGTTCTGTTTGTTTTCATGTCTACGTTTCTTTTTTGAAAATTGTTTAGAATCTTGTAAATCATTAGTATTCTCCTTATCAACTTCCTGGATTCGACTTTCCATTGTGTCTACAAATGAATAGTGTAAAAAAAAAACACTTTCAAACGTTAACAACCTCAGGACATGTGTATTATGTAATAGTTTGACAAAAATACCGTCTATTCTGGAGGAAAGAAGTGAATGGGAGCCTAGAATCCAATACACCAAACACTACAGTGTTATCCACTAGGAAACTGGGTGATAATGGTAGCCTAGAGTGGCGTTTGAAGTGATGAGTTTTGGCTTTGACTATCAGTGGGAACAAGATAACTCACTGAGAGGCAGGTATATCCGGCTGATGAGTCACAAACAGGACAAAATGTTTGTTCTACTAACTGCTATCCATCACTATCAGAAGATGAAAAGGTTGTCTTGGTTCATGACATCAAGCATGTTATTCTGTACCGATTAACTTTGGTGAAAATAAACTGCATTATTCTATCCAATGTACTGCAATTTGATTAGTTTTCAGAAAGTAGGTCACTGAAAACAAAACCAAAAGGTTCAGGATGTCTGAACTTTTTAAGCCATTTCATGAATGAGATCACCAGTCAGATTTTTTTATTATCATAGTTACTATTGCTTCCCAGAAAACGTTTAATATTCATAGAAATCAGATCTTACCTGGTTGTAATTTTCTGATTCTCATGCTTCTGTTGACTCAGTCTCGTAGGTGACCTTGCATGTGATTGGTCTAAAATATGCTTGCCCAGTCTTGCATATTTGATTTATCCACACACACGATGAGTCACACAATTCAGCCCGCCCAAACGTGTACAACATAGCATAAGGTCTTCTGCCTATTCTCTGTATATATCTAAGACGATCTGATTCATCTGCATTTATAACGAAGTTACCTGACCACAACGTACCATAATTTATTAAAATGAAACAATCAATTTCTAGGTCAGATGTATGATAATGCACAATAATAAATTTCAGTCAACATGCAGTTATTTCCTAGTTATAGGTTATACATAATTGGATGATGAGTCAATCGAAAGCTCATGAAGTGAGCTCTTCAATAATGTTACCAGTTCAGTCACTAATACATTGACTTTCTTAATAACTAAAGTAATAGGAACAAATGACACTTCTTATCTAAAATTCACATTGTTCACTTTTCGGCTTATATAACAACTGCGTCTCATGCTGGTTCATTGGATTCACTGTCTAACAAATTAAACAGACCTCCATGAGATACGTGGCCTTTTTTCAATAGTATAATCATCTGACACTGTGTAGTGCGTAGTTTGTAAGACGCCTACAGAGGATTCAAGTAATTTACCAAGAGATGTATGAAGATGAATAGACTGGAATGAGTAATTTCAACGTTGTTTTTACAAAAATAAACTGCTTATTATTGATGAACATCGAGAAAGTCACCTAGTGCTTACTATGGTACAGTATGGCATTCATTGACAAGAGTAATATGAAGCATACCAATATATTTTACAATTTCATAAACTTTACTCATATTGCCATAACATGTATTAAGAAATGAAGAGGACATACCAGCCTCAAGGTCTGTTTCACAATATTCATCTAATTCGAACTTTATTACATTCAGTGGATTGAAGGTATCGCTTGTCAAATCTGACTGAGTTGTTGTATCTTTCGGATAAGGCCATAACCGACTACGTGAACGTGTTCTATCCAACTCAGCATCCATCCAGCTAGAAGCAAACGGGATAACGGAGGTTTCTTGTATGCTGAACCCTTCAAGATCATCTGAAATCCCAACAAAAAAAATCACTTAAATGCATAAAATGATTGAATTCAGTTGAGCATTTCGTTACAGTTACCACCTTATAAGTGACGATCAACAGAAGTGACCAGCAATACACCCGTACCCACCAGTATAATGACTTCTTATTTGTAGCATTTCAATCTGGAAAAATAATGATCAAATGCGTGAATCTTCATCTCATCAAACTAATAAATGAAAATACAATTCAGTTTGCAGTTTGTGTAGATTAATTTATCCCAATTTGGTATTCCTAAAAGAGTGAGTGTTATCCATTGGTAAATCATTAGTTGGAGGCGATTAACAGAAGGTCCCATCTGACCTAGATTTCTTGCATGAAGGCACTCATCAGTATGTCATATCTGCATTCTGAAGGATGTCGATGTCTCTTTAGAGTTCCAAGCTGGCGTCACATACTGTAGCGGTTACAGATGTTGCCATTGAGCCGTTCGAGTCACGATAGACTTCTTACAGGATTGGATTAAGTACAGTGATCGGTAACTGAAGAGAAATATAATTTCATATCACCTGGTCCTAATTCTTAGGTTAAGTTTACACGACGTCGATGAGTACCAATATGTCCGAAACCCTTTTCAAGCAAGACTTTCTACTGACTCTCTTCAACCACCAATCACCAAAATTGATGATCCCAATACGAAATGATGGAAAGAATACGGTTAGCACTTTACATTAGACAACATAAATTTAGCCAGTCTTAAAGTGCTCTGTGATGGTAAGTCATCACCCTTTGTAGCCATATTTCAAATTAGTCAGTCGAGTTAGGTAAGCACTTAGACTGAGATCATATGGGGTTTGTTATATCCCATGAGATCAGGAAATGTTCACTGGGCAGCCGTTTCGTCATAGATCGGGACTCATTAGCACTTCACGTTGATTACCTGGTAAGAGACCGAACCCATAACCTTCAAATCTTGTGACTTGTCTGAATAAACGCTAATAATAAGAAGTGCTTTTTAACTACTTAGTATGACATTGATAATTTATAACCAAACTCTGAGACAGCAACAAACCACCATCCCCCTACACATAAGTCGATAAGATACTGTAAACGGTGCATGAATCGATGCTTTTAATCCATCCTCAGAAGCTGAATGTACATTATTATCCCCTGGAAGTATGAGACCATGAGTTTCTTTGAATATGCTGTATTCGTCAAAACAAACGAGTGTCATATGAGAAAGAACTGACAGCAAAGAGAACAGTATATGTATCTGTATTCATTATAAATGTATATATAATGAGTAGGATACTTGATCTGTCTTAAATTTCAACATTTTGCAGGACCAGATACCATAACTTCAGCTGTCATAACAAGGATGTCAGTGTGGAAAATGAGATCATAAAATCATCCTATTGAAAAGTACTCAAAAGGGCTAAACCATACCTGCCACTGGATCAAGATCTGCAAATGAAGACAAGTACTAAGAGATTATAACGGTAAGTACCTTGTTGCGTTAAAAATTCCTTTACTTGCAGAAGAATGCCAATTTTTCTGCCTTGAATAGACTGAAAATCAGTAACATGTTCGCCATGGTAACTTATAATGTTCAATTCAGCTGAAAAAAATGCTTAGGAAGACCATTTTAGTGACAAGTTCTAAGTAGGATGAGTATAAGACTGTTCATTGCTTCTCACCTTTAAATTGTCATTCAACAGGTTTAAATTTATGTCTACATGTGATTTTAAAAACTGTCATGAACGAGGAAACACATTTAACTACATTTTTATATTCGAAACAACCATCCTCTGAATTTAACTGAAGAAACACAAACACGAGCTTTATTTATCAGGCGTTCAGTTGTAGAAATAGTATATATATATATATATATATATATACATATATATATATATTAAAAAAATACACAAATCATATTCTGAATAGAGGAAGAAATTTACAAACTGATAGAATCCTACCATAACCTTCCAGAAACATTGTCCTGATATCATCCTCTGACAACAAGAAATTATTATCTTCTAACCAATCATAAAGGGGGCCAATCTTGGGTAATAATTCCTTTTGTTGAGTTCTCTTGAAACTACTTATACTCCCTTCCATTTAAGTAGTATTATTAGTAGCATCCACTTTCACCTTCAATAATCTTAGAGATTAAGATATTCTTCAGTTATTTGCCTTTTAGAAAATCAGTTTTCTCAATTATATTTTAAAGATTTAGATGAATATTAATAATAAATATCCTCGTAAGTGATATATTCTGTGTTAACCTTGTCACTATGACAACTTGATAAAAATTTCATTTTTCATTTGTTATTCAGACAAAATTCCATTTCTTTTATGTGTGTGTGTTTTGACTTTTTTCTTGGCTCTGAAAAATCCAAGTTTCTATTTGATTATGAATTTATTTTTTGTAAAAAAGTGGAGAAGAAAGAGAATACTTTGTACTGTATAAGAAAATAAATATGGTCAAGTTTCTGTATATTCCATAATAGATTTGTTTATTCAATTTATAATACACAGTGTGATATATTATTATTTACTGGATGACAATGTTTCCAGCATAAATTATCATTACTCATAATCATATCAATGGAATCATACTACCTTAGACAGGTGATTTTTTACATAGTTATATCACCTGATATGAGTTGTTTTTATTGGTAGTAAGATATTCCATATCTCTGGTATAGGTGTTGCGTCTTATCTATCACATGTATTGAGGTGGGTGTTGATTCGATGAACGATTTGAACGTTTTAATTCCAGACTAGTAAACTCTTATTAGTTAAAACTTAGGCTTAATGGCCTACACATAGAAGATGAAAAAATGTTTAGCTTTGATGTAACTAGTCTGTATACTAAAATACCAATCAATATGGCACTGGAGGCAGTCAGAAATCAACTAGATACTGACTCACAACTTACTCAAAGAACCAACGCATCGGTTGGTGAAATCATGTTAGGAGTGCAGTTATGCTTAACCTCGACAGTCTTCAAATTTCAGGGAAAGATTTATCGACAAACAGAAGGAGTAGCAATGGGATCACCAATATCCCCTATAGTAGCAGATATATTTATGGATAGTTGGGAAGATATGGCTTTACGAACATATAGTCTGACACCTAAAATATGGTGGCGATATGTGGATGACACATTTACAGTGTTGAAATCGGAACATATCGATAATTTCCTCATGCATATAAAATCAGTAGTAAAAACACTCTCCAATTCACCTATGAGATAGGAAATGAACAAGGAGAATTACCTATGTTGAATTTGAGGATTAAACATAGGAGTAATGGTGTTTAGGATACTATCGTCTACAGAAAAGCAACACATTCTAACAGATATCTAGACTTCAAGTCATCTCATCCAGTGTCAGTCAGTTAAGGCAGGATTAGTCAAATGTCTAAATGATGGTGCTAGAAAACTGACTAGTCAGAGCAAGAACCTAAACAAGGAATTGAAACACGTAAAATAAGTGCTAATAGCTAATAATTATCCTGAGCAGTTTATTAAGAAATTCTTACGGACACAAAAAAACAAAAAAAATAACAGTCATACGAGTGCTACTAATAACGACAACACGAGAAAAAAGGAGTTCACAGCCTCCATCGTATTACTCTTTAAGTAGGGTACCTCATAAACTTTACATAGAATTCTCAAAAAAGCTGGAATTAGGGTGGCATATAAACCTACAAACTCACTCAGAGATAAACTTTGTCGGCTGGCTTAAGGATCCGATAGAACGAATTCACCAAAATAATTTAATGTATCAAATACCATGTAATAACTATGAGTCAGGTCAAGTATATAGATCAAACTAGTCAATCGGAGTCAGTTAGAATAGCCGAACATAAGAATTTAGCTAAATATAATAGAATGACTGATCTAAATCAGATGAATAATCTAGAAAAAACTCGGCCATTGCAATTCATGCGTGGATCAACACACAATCACACAATCAGGGTGGGATAAAGTCGCTGTACTTAAGTTCAATATAATTAGGTGGAGAGAGAGAAGAAGATCGATTACTGAATCATTGTTCGTCGAATCAGCCAACACCCAACTGAACACATGTAATAGACATGATGCAACACCTATACCAGAGATATGGAAAATTTTGCTACCAATAAAAACAACTCATGTAAAGTGATGTTGGCATCTATAGGGTAACATGTCTGCAAAGAGGTAGGGTATGAACAGAAACTTTAGCAAGGAGTCAAGTGTATACTTTTATCCTTATTGATTAATCTAGTAGAGGCTTTAGACTAATGATCAATGGAAACGGATGTTTGATAGGTATATTGGATTGTTTCCATGGTGAAAACAATTCGGTGATAGACTTCAAACAAGGTTGAAGATGGTGAGAAAGCTGTATTTCTGATATCATTAGATATCTGAACTCAAATGAACCAATTTAGTAGTAAATGCGTATGAAATCCTGTTCATTATTATTTAACAGTCTATGAATCCCATCATTGTGGTGCACTACGACACAGGAAATCCAGTATCACTTACATTTTGTGCATCTTGGCACTCATCAGCAAGGCGTATTTCCAGCCTCGAGGGAACTGATGTCCCCTCAGATATTCAAACCAGTGTCATCATGTGCCATAGTCAGACTAGTTACTACCGAGGTATTCGGATGACAGTTGGCCTCATGTAGGACTGAACTAGTCACATTGACAGATCACTGAAGAGTAATTAATTTCACTTCTTCTATTCCTGAGTAGTGACCGATTTCTAACATTTATTTTTAACCCAAATGTTTTTTGTTGGTCTTGGTGACTAGCAGAGGAATCCAGGATGCCCGTTTCGACCTATTTGGGATTTGTCAGCCGCATATACCTGTGCCTCAGTGAGTAATGTTGCTCACACTGAGACTCGAACCCAGTGCCCTTCTCTACTAACTCCAGAGCGTTATCCTCTAAGTCACTGGAGCATACAACTGTTTTCTTTTCAAATAATAAATTGATGACGCCAATCGTGCATATTTACCAGTTTAAAATTAGCGCTGGTCAGGAATTCCTAGTAAGCTTTGAGTTTGGTCAAAATGAATGCCTGTTGAATAGTTTTAAACGCGCTTATCACCAATGCATAGTAGACAAAAGTCCTGAGTCATAAAGTCAGATAGGATACCTGCCGATTCTTTTGCTATCTGAATTCCAATGAGTTATCGACCACGCCCATATATACCAGTACCATGCCCTAAGTTGACTCTATGTCGATAATACTAAATGTTTATTTATTCTTGTAACAAAATATGTTATTGATGGATAGTGGCTAGTAGTGAAATCCAGGAAGCATGTTTCGTGCTACTTCGGCCTCATCAGCTTGATGAACCTGTACCCCAGTGAGAAATGTTGCTACCACTAGGACTCGAACACAGGACTGATTGCTTCTAACACCAGAGGGTTATCCACTAGGTCACAGAGGAACAATAGACACTCCCAAGTTCGAATCCTGGTGGAAAAAACATCAATCTGTAAGAAAGAGGTTTATCCAGCCAACCAACCTCATATAGGACGAAACTAGCGTCCTAGATTCCATTGCAAATCACCATCCATTATTACTATTGAAATGAAATTACAAGCAATAGCATAAAATGTAATAACTTACACCTGAATATGTTATTTCAGTTAGGTATATAAATGTTGTACAATCATCGAATGTTCACCGTTGAGAATGTATTATTCAAACCACAAAAGGTTAACACTGTTTACTAAACAAACTGCCTTATCGATGAATTAAAGATAAATAAACTGATTGTTTCTGTAATTTTGTCTTGTTATTTAAAGCGAAACTTATTCGATGAACTATTCATCAATTCACTATTTATTGATTTATCCAGCTGTCTATTCACGCCATATATATATATATATATATATATATATATATATATATATATATATATGTATATATAGGAATCCACTAAATTCAGTCATCATTGCGAGAAGTAAGTGATAGGTGAGAGTAACTTTAAGGCCAACCTAGCAACAACTGAAATGATCAATCAGGCTTTGGTATTTCGGTCTAAAAAAGTACTTTTCTACAAAATAAAGGAATTCAATTGTCTGTTTCATTAGTTGCTAGGGTGGTCTTGAAATTCACCAGATAGATGACAGTTATTGATGTGATGTAACTTGAGTATAAACTGATAATTTGTTATTTTTCTGATTACAATCATTAACCTTACTTGAGTTGAATCAGACAAGCATCGAAATTTAATCTGTAAAACATCATGATTACGACTTGAAACCAAAAACAAACAAACCAGAAACTAGGATGCCAGACACTGGAGGACACGATTCTTACCTGCAAAATGCAATTTCTAACTTTCCACAAGTGAGATAAAGAGTTAATTGATCTTTTATGATTGGTCAATGCGATATAACGGTATTCTCTAATTTGGCAAACATTAAGGCTTCGTTCTTACACTGAATAGACACGTTTTTGTAACAAGATCAAAATATCCTACAAATCGAATGTTGTATTAGTAAATCTAGTACATGAATTTAGGCAAGTTGTGAGAAATAGAAGCTTACAAACATAGTATTAAACGATTAGAAGATGTAAGTTGATTAACTAATGGAGTCATCCTTAAATACCAAAGGTCACTAACAGTCTGTATAGGATTTGTGATTGTCGCCTAAAATAGAGATGAGAACAATAATGTAGACCCGGTGTACAAGTACCAGTATGCTGTTTTTCGTTGCCATGTTTGTAGGTGGAGGAAGCCAGAAGGCAGTAAGCAACGTAAATCACAGTAAGTGCTGTAATAAAAACCATAATATATACATTACTGATCTAAGTTCTTGAGTTACCCATTCACCTTCGGAATAAAATTGAATTTCGGGCGTTATGATGTTGTCAAGCCTATTAACACTGTACACAACCATGATTTGTAGTCAGAGCTGCTGATGTCTGTGGAAACACCTATTCAAAGACTAACTGGTGACCAGTAAATGAGGATTCTACCGCTTACCGAACGTAATGCATCACCAAATCGAATTATTGATATGGTTGACATAGAGTTCGGTAAGCAGATGACGTGCGATGACTATGGAAACTTCCGGGAACTAGTATACCCTAGTAATATTGCATGTTTATTTCATATGTGTTTAGGAATTCGCAACACAGACTCACTGGTTCGAGAAATTCGACAGACAGCGTTGGTATGGTATGTACTAGACAGCGATAAACGAGTCGAGATGTTTAGCTTTGCAACTCAGGAAATGATAACGAAATATAAGAGGTTTCCGGAAGTTGTCGGTATAGATTCTACATACAACACCTCCTAGGAAGGGTAAGCAGGTAAGGTTAATGATTCTTTTTTTAGCCACCCGCTTTATCAATTGGTTATCAAGTATGACCTCTACCGCAGCTTCCCTGTGATGTACAGCATAACTCACTGAGAAACTTAAGAAACTATAACCACATGGAAATTGAACGTAACCAGGTTACTGTAGACATTGGAGAAATGCGAATGCTCACTTCCGCTATGATGTAGGAAATGTAGTTACTGACCCAGTCATACCCGAAAATGCATGCAGACTGTTGTTAGATAAGTACGCCA